AACAACCATTAATTTCATAATTTTTCTATACAATTTTATTTTTTACATGATTTAAAAAAGTGCATAAATAGTAACTTATACAAATTATGTTATTTTCAGCAGGGAGTTGTTTTAGATAGTTGCTCAGTATTTGAAAACAAAGTTTCTTATTCGTTTAGTTGACAATAAATTTAATGGAAGAATTGCGAATTCAACGGAGTGGGCACCAAGATATCTTTAGGATGACTTTAGAATGTTCCAAAGTGTCCTAAAACATTGCGTCAATGTTCCAAAGACACAAAAAAGACGACTTAAAGACGCCCAAAAGTATATTCTATGTCTACCCCAGAACAGTCTTAAGAATGTTTTGAATTTGTCCCCAAAATGTCTTAATTACGTCTTCAGAAAGTCCCCAGAATGTCTTTATTTAATTATTTTTGACATCTATAGAATGCCTTTTTAAGGACATTTTTGGGATGTCCCAAGGATATCTTTAGAACGACTTTTTAACAATGTCCCAAGAACGTTCCGAAAAGGATGTCCTTGCACGGAAAAAATTAATTCAGTAGATTTTAGAAAACTATCACGGAGTAGCGTATTGAGTGTTGTAAAATGTCTCGAAATATTCACATGTTTCAAAACTCAGTTTTGTAAAGAGCTGTATCCACTACTCCGTCACAGTTTTGTGGATTTAGTGGATGAATTTTGAATTTAAGGGATGTTTTGCGGGTGGGTTAAAAGTTAATTTTGAGCAGGGAATTATTTCAGATTGTTTTATGGTGGGCCAGTATTTGAGAATAAGGGTTCGATTTTTTTTAGTTGCCAATTTTAATGGAAGAATTTTTTATTTAAGGGTTGTTTTTGGGAGTTGTGAGTGAGGGAATTTTTGTTAGCATTAGGTTAGTGTACAATTTATATTCTATTTTGATAATCATTTTTTTCCACTAGTAGTCAAGTAGTTACTGTTTTGAAGTTGTTGCACTTCTGGAGAAAAACTCACCCTTTGCTTTAAGGGTTGAAGAAAATGAGTCGCCTAAAGGCTAGTTTGAAAAATAACGATTCTATCTTTAGTTTTTGATAAAAGAGAAGTGTTTATTACGTCAGGCTTTTTACCCACGATTTTTCAAAAAGTGCCAAAAACGCTGTTTTCAGGGGGCCGTTTATAAACAACGTTACCTATTTTAGGGGGGAGGGGGTCAAGAAGTCTAAAAAAATGCATTTAACGCAATGGTAACGAGGGGGGAGGGGGTCCAAAAAGAATTAAAAATTGGTATCGTAGTTTATAGACGGAAAGAAAAAAAGGGTTAAAACCCCTCATTAGGGGTTTCAACCCTTTTTTTCTTAAACATTTGACATAATGGAGCATTTTGGACACCGGATTCTTGTTCAGCACAAAAATTCCCTTCGGAAGTAACTAGTCGCATTCATTTTCCCGAACTGATGATATTAATGATATTCTAACATATTCTAAAATACTTCTAACAAATGTAAGAAATAACACTCTGAGTGTACGCTCACTATGAAATGACGAACATAGAGTAATATAAAAATATATGAAAAATAATTATATTATAATATATATTATATTATAAATTTTTTTTATAAAAAATTATATATTTGGTAAAGTACTTCATGAACCCCAATAGGGTTTGTTAAATAAAATTTACTGCGCGGCTGTATGTGCCATAGAAAACTACTGCGCATAAATAGTAATAAAATTTATTTATTAATATCACTCTATGTTTACAGTAACCTTACAGTAACCTTACAGTAACCTCACAGTAACCTCACAGTAACCTTACAGTAACCTTACAGTAACCTTACAGTAACCTTACAGTAACCTCACAGTAACCTCACAGTAACCTTACAGTAACCTTACAGTAACCTTACAGTAACCTTACGGGAAGCTGACAACTGACAATACCTTTGACAAAAAGCTTCCTGGTTCCTTCCTCGGTGATAACTTACGGAGGCACATTACTCAGAAAGTAATTTTTCAATGTCAGGAAAATAATATCATTTTCATCGTCTTTCATTCATCTTTTACAATCTGCAGTTGAACAAGTCATCGACAAAATGATGATGAACATCAAGTCTGGATTTAAAGCCTGCGATAGGATGATATCGCAGGCCTTAAATCCATGATGATTTATGACACTTGCTAGGGAATCTATTTTAAAAAAGTTACTAAATGAAGACAAAAATTTTACCGTTGTACCCAATACATTCATCTCTTATCTGGAAAAAAATTTGAAATTTCATTAGATAAACCTTCATGTCGTAGCAAAACTAAACTCAAAATTAAGCCTGGAAAAGCGTGAGTATCGAGTATGTGGATTCTTTAAACAAAAATGAGCTGGAAAAGGGAAAGAAAAACAAACGTGGGAGACCAAAGAAAGTTCTCGTTGAAAATAAGAATGAGGAATCTTTAAATGGAGTGAAAGAAAAAAGACGACCTGATAGATCTAGATAAGTGAGAAAAATCGACAAATCTGATGACAATGATTGTGAAGAGGGCCTCAATGCTATCGATGTATTAGTAAAATCAACATACGGAGAAGAAGTTAAGAAAAAATTACCTGCGACAAATAGTAACCGATACCGATAAAAATGTTTTTGAGATCGAATTTCTTGAAAGGAAAGAAAAAAGGAATATTCATTTTATTTTCCCACATGTACCTAATGTATAAAATATAGAAAGAAAATAAATCATTTCTAAACTAGAATTAAAATGTAATACCAAAGAAAGATATTATTTTTCTAATTCATAAATCGTTTATGACTAAAGTTGTTTTTAAATAAATTCTAATAAATTTTTGAATTATAAAATACTTATAAAATATCAATAAATATTATTTTTATTGACTTTAAATGTCATTTATGTTTTATTTCTTTTCCAATGATTATATAAAATGATTACATTTCATTAATTACAATATTGTATCTTTTAATTGAAGTTGAGTAAAATAACCCCACAATTGAGGGGTAAATTCGCTCACTGCATAAAGGAAGGGGAGATGTATGCAGGTTGAGACGGGTTTTGTTTTTTGGGAAAATTTTTAAACAAAAAACATTTAACAAAAAATTTTATATGCCGTTCAAAAAGTACTATCCAGAGCTACAATGTTGCCTAAAAAATAGTAATTTTTTCAAAAATAAAAAATTTACGTCTGATTTTTTGAATAAAGTAGTTTTCTCCAAAAACTAATTTGACATGCAGGTTGAGACACACCTAGTAATTGTGAATTGATTAAATGAAAATTAATAACCACGTCATTTTTTGAAAGTTTCTTATTTATTTATTTTCCCAATAAGCATGGACATCCACTGGATGTCCCAAGGACATCCATTTCGGAACGTTCTTGCGACATTGTTTAAAAGTCATTCTAAAGATATCCTTAGGACATCCTAAAAATATCCCTTAAAAGGCATCCTGTAGATGTAAAACAGAATGAAATAAAGACAACCTAGACAAGTTTTATGTCTGGAATAGAGCAGTTTCAAAAATATCCTTAAGAAACCTTATGGATATTTTTGAAAATTATGGAAAAAATTTGGTTTTTTCAGTACAATTTTTAGACATGTTGAGGATATTACAAAGAAGTTTGTTGAACATTTTTAGGTCATCTTAAGTACATTCTCAAAACATAATCCTTTTTCGGCGAATTAGTCTATATGGATCAATATATATGACCAGTAATCGCGAAATACTTTTTTGGTCTATTTGGATCTTCAAGGGCACTTCGATGTTGTTGGTCATTCGGCGTTTAAGAGGGGTTTCTCATGAAAAAATCGATTTTTTTGCAAAAAATTATTCCTTAATATGTCAAAAATGTCCTCTTAAAATTTTAAGTCGATCCAAGTGATAGTTTTCGAAATAGATCAGTTATAGTGGGTGGCGCAACAACTGTAACGTATAGCGCTATCGTGGCTTTAAACGTGTTTTTCTCAAAATCCTGTTTTTTACGGTAGACACGCTTCAGAAAAAACGAAAAAAGATATTGCCTTAAATCTTTTTGCATATTGTTTGGCACACACTTCTGCAGTTACTGAACTAGGATGAACTGAATCGGTAACCCCCTTTTCTCCCCCCGCTTGATTTAAATACAAAAAAACATCGTTTTTCGAATTTTTGATTCAAAAGCCCGCCATTTTTTTATTTTTTGGTTTTTTAATAAAACCCCTAGTTTAGAAAGTCACCACATATGTATAGTTTAAGAATCTTTTTGATTTTTTAATTTCCAGTGATTCAAAATGGCGGAATTGTGTCTACCGCAAAACGCTTCTTTTGGAGTCAACTTCAGCACACTATAACAAATGTTTATTTCAATAATTTGAATGTAAACAAATTTTTTTGGTTTAAAAATACTTTAATTTTAATATGTAAAAAGATTTAGATACATATTTGGGACATTTTTAGGATACTCTGAGAACATTTTAGGAACATTTTTTGACATTTCGGGGATATTTTTAGGACATTCTGGGGACTTTTTGAAGACGTAATTAAGATATTTTGGGGACAATTTCAGAACATTTTTAAGACTGTTCTGGGGCAGACATAGAATATACATTGTGTGTCTTTAAGTCGTCTTTTTTATGTCTTTGGAACATTGACGCAATGCCCTAGGAAACTTTGGAACGTTTTGAACTCATCCTAAAGATATTTTGGTTTTTTTTTGGGGGGGGGGATTTTATCGGGTCTTATATAGTATATTACATAGGGTTTTTAATAGAGAAGCATGAGACGCTCTTACATTACCCTTACGCCCGTACATCACCTCTCCCAAAAACTTTTCTATTTAGACACCTCAAAAAATAAAAAATTCGGTACTTATAAACTTTCCGTTAACATAACTTTTGTTCAACTTATATAAAATAACTTATTATAAGGGTTTAAAATTTTTTCCTTTAAAATGGAATTCTGTTTCAAGAAGAAATATAATAAATTAATAGTCAATTTTACAATTGATATTGGTCTCCTCATGGATCATAATAATGATTCAAATATATACTAAACTTACAGATTTTGTTATTCCATTCATGGAGTATCCACATGGTTCAAACAAAAAGTCATCAAAAATCATATGTGGTATTAACTGGCTAATTCCAGATTTTTCAGTTGCTAAAGATGCAGATGAACATGCAGAACGTTTAAATATTGCCATCACTTCTGCATCGAGATGTGTCATAAGTATTTCCAACGTCTGGTCGGGCTCTTCATCAATTATCGTTGACTTTTCTCTGCTAAGTGTATATAAATACCAACAATCTGCATCATTGGATCCCAAGCAATAAGCTTCTCCATCTTGAATAATTAATTTTATTATTATTGAGGACAAATATGAAAATTTTGATTAATTTTAAATAAAACAAGAGTAATTTTTTTACAGCACAGTATATTACATCGAGTTTACAGAAAGCTGACATGTAAGAATTGTAGGGTAACATCGTAAACTTCTGTAAATAAAATTGCATACCTGGGGTAAAATACCTGTAGCGAACTAAGTGAAAAAAAAGTTGATTGGATCGGGCTGTAACTTGCACATAGTTTAGCCCTAGGAGTGAGTAATTTAACCACGAAGTATTGTTAGGTTTTTGGGTTAGTGGATTGTTAATTTTGTGTGTGATTAATACTGTGTTATATATTGTAAACGTGTATATTATGTCTGTATGAATATACATATGGGCATATCTCTAGAACTTTTAAACATTCAGATATTAAAAAAATAAATTCTTTTCTGAAAGCACATTCTTGAAATAAATTTTATTTTCTTCAGTATTGATCAAATAATAGAAAAAAAATTTCGTAACTCATTTTTACACAGTCTTATAGACACAGTGGTCCAGATTGCAAAAAACCTGGCCAAAACCCCTAGATGTCTTTAAAACTGGCTGATATTTCTCACCCTGAGGTTTTTGGGGCCACTGACTACGAATTTGAACTTATTGTTAATTTTTCAAAATTCAAAATAGCGGATCCAATATGGCGGACGAAGAAGATGCAATGACTTAGGAGCATTTAGAAGAAAAATTGAACATGTACTTCTCAAATATGTGGTTTTTTGATATGACTTACGTTTTAAAATTTAATGTACGCATCTTCAAGATGCATGCACGGCGCGAATTTCGATGCCAAATCATTATAAATATTTAAAATAATACCTTTTTCAATTAACTATACTGTGAGAAGTTTAACGCAACATCTTCATTTTTTGAGGGACAGATACCCAGTGGGCAAAAACCATATTCGTTTTAAAAACGTTTTAAGAACGTTTTTAGAACATTTCATGCCTGCCAAATAATGTTCTGGAACATTATTTGAACATCCATGTTCTTAAAATGTTCCAAAACATTATTTGGCGGACATTGTTTTTTGCCCACTGGGTATTGTACCTCAATTATGTGCAGACCCAATACTAAAATCGAACAGCAGCAGCGCCAATTGAGTACAGATTCTGACCTAACTTGTGGGACAAACGATTTAGTATAGTATCTTTCCACCAAAAAGCGCAGCTGCAATAAAATTTATAACCGATGTTGCTCGGAAGGTTAGGTACACTATCTGAACGTGTGTTTAGTACGAAATCTGTGTTTAACTTTTCTCAGTTTAATAAAATGACAATAGTAATACAACAATAATAAAAATTTGAAAATTAAAAACATGTTTTTAAACATTATAACTGAAATGGTCTAAAGTTTTATAATATATAAATTTCGTAATGAAATAATTTGAGAAAATTAAAAATTTTAATGGAAATTTATAAATTTAAATTTTTATAACAAATATTTTAATTTTCTCATAACTCATTTTCAACAAAATATTTAAGACAACAATTTTATATAAAATAGTCTTTTACGTAAAATATTTGACAAATATTAACTAAGATTATATGTACTGATTATAATACTTTTTGACTTAAGAATTTTCAATCTAATAAAGAATTAAAAGTAAGATATATTTAAACGTTATAAACATAATGTTTTTCTATTACTATTAGTTATTAAAAATTTTTTCCTAAGGGGTTATACCTAGTCATAATTTTCAAGAAATCGAATTTTTTTTTGCAGTTTCTTAAAGTATATATGTATATAGTGAGGATGGTAATTTTTTTTTTGAATTTTGATATTGTAGTTAAGATGGTAAATAGGTGTCTCCTATTAAGTATTTCATTAACCTAATCATATCTGATAAGGTAGTAATTTAATTGACCAACAGTCAAATTTTTATGTACGAAACTCGTACAAATATTTTTCGTACATGGTTTCTGAAAAAAGTGGGTCGTTTCTCGCTGCTAGGGTGTATGATCCCAGAACCTTCTTATTTCCGGTAAGATGCTCTACCAATTGAGCTACAGAAAGACCCGATTCCACTCAATTCAGAAACCATTCACACGACTTTTCAACGTCAGTATTAAGAACTTTAGAAAATATCTAGTGAGTATGGTAATTTGTTTTTGAATTGTGAAAAAATGTTTTATTAAGATTCGAGGAATATTTTCGAAGTTATGCTTAGTTAAGTTACATAATTAGCAAGGAGGCAACATTTCCTCATAAACTAACAGAATCTATTTTACTTTTCTGAGTTCAGATGACTCTTTCAGAAGTTATGCTGGTCGCCGCGAGACACATTTTTTTAAGGATCCTTGGGAGATCGCATGCAAAGAGCAGAAAAATTAATATTTTTATAAAAAAAATGTTTTTTTAAATACACTAAAAGATGTATAATAATATAGAAAAACTTTCATTTTATTAAAAATAAATATTCCTTTTAAAAAAAATTCCAAAAACTGCATTTTTCCGACCGCCTGACTAGGTATAATCCCTTAATCAATAATATAACGTTTCTGATTTGTAGACAACAGAATCAAAAAAATTGATTTGCGAACTTAATTAACCTACAGCAGCTTATAAGATTGAAGATTTAAGTCAATAATTTCCATGCAATCTACTCTCATTGGAAAATTATTGTACAATTAAAAGATATTGTACATTAAGTATTGTACATGGTACAAGAGTCGTAATTATTGTATAAAAACATAATTATTGTACTGTCTGGCCACCCTGCAGTTTAAGCATCTGGTCACCCTGCACTCACTATCAAAAAAATACACGTGTAGGTTTGGCCATATGTAATTACACGTGTAATTCGTCCTTTAAATTTGAAAGTGTAATTCATAATTTCAAACTTTTTTGAAATTTCAACAATTTGTTACACGTGGAACAATATATCAACCCTTAAACTGCAAGGCCTTTGAAAGCTACTAAAACAGAATAAAATGATTTTGCTAGACCAATAATTACTATTGTCTAATACTCAATGTTGTTTGCAACTGTCATTAATTCATCAACCCCAAGTCACAATAAAAAACCACCCCTATATCAACCCCTACAAAAAAGGCTTCTGAAAGCTACGAAACAAAAATATATTGTTAGAGCAATAATTACTATTTATATAATCAACTCTGAATCACAATAAAAAACCGTTCCTATATCAACTTTTCTACAGAAATGCCTCTGACAACTACTAAATCATATTTATTTAGAAAAATTTAAATCGATCTTCAAAAACAGTCAATGTATATTTTTTAGGAAGCTGCTTAAAAATTGATCTGAAAAGTATTTTTATTTATTTTTTAGTGTATAATATTGATTTTATCAGTTTAATCGATATTTATCTGTTATTGCAATGTTAATCGAATTTTTTTTTAATCTGATTGGTTTGCATGTATAATTTGCATTGAAGAACACTATTGTTCATTTCTTCTGTATTTTATAGTGAGTTTTCTAACTTCCATTCATTTATATTTACTATTGAGATTTTCAACGAGTTTCATTTGTTTTCTATCCAATGGTTTTTGTACAAGAGTATACTGAAAAATACGTATTCGCATTTGTTTAGTGCATAGTAGTAATTTTTATCATTTGAAACGATAATTATCTGATATTGCAAGGATCATCGAATTTCATTTGTTTTTAGGCTATTGGTTTGCACTTACAATGTGCATTAAGCAGTACTGATGTTCATTTGTTTTGTGTTTTATGGTGACTTATGACTTATGGTGACTTTTATTCACCTGTCTACTATTAAGGTTTTTTGATTTATGTCACTTCGATTTATCATTATCTGGTATTTCAACGAATTTCATTTCTTTTCTGTCTATTGGCTTTTTCATAAGAGTGTATTAAACATTACTTATGCTTAACTCTTTAGTATATTATTGTGTTTCGTGTCCTTTCATTTCATAATTATCTGCTATTAGCATTTCTAACGAATTTCCTTTTTTGAGTGGTTAATTAACATTTACAGACTATTAAGTCTTGTTGTTTTTTGTGTTTGTTGTATTTCTACACTATATGTCAAAGTAACGTTTTTTGGTCATATTCTTTGAATTCTGTGTTTGTCTTCAGTGTTTGATTTACTGTAAGTATATTTTAATTACTTTTCAATAAAGTATTCTTTGGTTTATTTAGACATGTCAAATCAATGTTCTGAGTGTAATATATCTTTAGATAAAAAACCTCGATCCTCTTATACTAAAGAATCATCAGGCATTATTTACTGTAAACGATGTTATAAGTGGCTTTCAAAAAAGCCTAAAGTAACTGACGTAAGATCTACAGTAAATGATGATGCCGATTCATCGTCAGCATGCAATAACGAGGTTTCCATTTCGGTTCCCATTAGTCGAGCTAGTGATTCTCATGTAACATGTATTTTCGATCTTAAAACTTCGGAATCACTCAGACTATTAAGCTGGGAAGAATGTATGCATATTTACTTTAAAACTAATATTTTTGTCAAGTACGGAGCGCGTGTGTGCAAATCACATGTCGAAAATAATTCCTTGCAAATTGCCATGAGTTTCAAACCTTACAGCGATGATGTCGTGATGACTTCAAGTGAGATTCATGACCTCTTAGGAACTTTTAAAAAAATGTACATTAAAGATACAACTTTTAAACCAGTTATTTATTTTCTTAATATGAAAGACGATCTTTTTTTTGAGACCGGCCTGAATACGACGCAATATAGTGAAGTAATGTCACTTATTGGGACCTCAGAGATTTCAGAAAATAAGAAGGAATTAGCTTTAAGGGTTTATTTGTCTCGATTACGTCGTGGATACACATGTGAAGAAATGTCAATTAAATGAAAAATTGACAGAAATACTGCTAGTAAATATTGCAAGTTTATGAGAACTAATCTTGAGCAAACGCTAGTTGTAAAATATTTAAGTTTACCTCTGTTACGTTCCGAACTAGTCGTGGTTTTTAAATAAAATAAATTTTATTTACTTGAAGGTA